GGGGCTAATGCAGCCGGTGACTTCAAGTTGGAGCCAGTGCTCATTTATCTAAAATGTTCATTTCAAAAATCCTAGGGTCCTTAAGAATTATGCTAAATCTACTCTGTCTGTGCTCTAGAAATGGAATAACAAAGCCTGACTGACAGCACATTTTCTTATGGTGCACATTATTGACTATTTTAAGTCCTTCATTGAGACTTAATGTTCAGAAAAAAATATTATTTTCAAAATATTACTGTTTTTTGACAATATGCCTAAGTTGCCCAAAGCTCTGATGGATATGTACAAGGAGATTCAATATTTCATGCCTGCTAGCACAACATTCATTCTGCAGCCCATAGATCAAGTAGTCATTTGACTTTCACGACTTATTATTTAATATAAAAAGAAAAACTTACAAGGATATAGCTGCCATAGATAATTCTTTCTCTGATGAACCTGGGCAAAGTAAATTGAAAATCTTCTGGATATATTCAGCATTCTAGATGCATTAAGAGCATTCGTGATTTATGGAAGGAGGTCAAAATATTAACAGGAGTTTGAAAAAAGTTGATTCAAACCCTCATGGATGACTTTGAGGGGTTCAGGACTAGTGGAGGATGTAACTGTCAATGTGGTGGAAACAGCAGGAGAAACAGAATTAGAAGTGGAGTCTGAAGGGCTCGGTGCGGTGGTTCACGCCTATACTCCCAGCACTTTGGGAGGCCAAGTTGAGAGGACTGACCGAGCCCACGGATTCGAGACCAGCCTGGGCAACTTGGCGAGACCTCATCTCTATAATAAACCAAAAAATTAGCCGGAAGTGGTGACACATATCTATATTTCCAGCTACTTGGAAGGCTGAGGCAGAAGGATCTCCTGAGCCCAGTGGGTAGAGGCTATGATGGCTGTGAGTGTGCCACTGCACTCCAACCTGGGCAACAGAGTGAGACTCTGACTCAAAAAAAAGAAAAAGAAAAAGAAGTGGCACCTGAAAATGTGACTAAATTGCTGCAATCTCGTAAGATAACTTGAATGTACGAGGAGTTGCTTCTTATGGAAGAGCAAAGAAAAAAAAGCATGTTCTTGAGATGAAATTTACTCCTGAGGATGCTGCTGTGAATATTATTGAAATGACAACAAAGAATTTAGAATACTACATCAACTTAGATGATAAAGCAACAGTAGATTTTGAAGGTATTGACTCCAATTATAAAAGAAATTATACTGTGGGTAAAATGCTATTAAACACCAATGCAGGCTACCGGGAAATATTTTGTAAAAAGAAGAGTTGATCAATACGGTAGACTATATTGTTGTCCTATTTTAAGAAATTGCCAAAGCCATCCTAACCTTCAGCAACCGCCATTCTGATCAACATCAAGGAAAGACCCTCCACCAGCAAAAAGATTAAGATTCTCTGAAGGCTCAGATAATCATTAGCATTTTTTAGTAATAAAGTATCTAGAGATAACTTTTTTTATACATTAGATTATTGCACATTTAATAGACCACACTGTAGTGTAAACAACTTTTATATGTACTGGGAAACCAAAAAATTCGTGTGACTTGCATTGAAGAAATTTTGTCTGGAATCAAGTCTACAGTATTGCTGAGGATACCTCTACTAACATATTTATTTTTTACAAGCATTTTTTTTATCTTATAAGAGTTGGGAGATTATGTTATTTCTCAGTATACTAGGTTTGCAATGTAATTTATGTTATCTATGTATATCCTAAAATAATTTAACACTTTGGAAAAGCTAAAGATTAGGCTTTTCCTCAAAGCTTAGTCATTTCTACAATTTGATTCCAGCCTTACTTTTTAGGTTTATTTGTGCAACTCCTTTATCCAAACTCCCTAGTCTAAGGCAACCTGCTATGCTCACTGTTCCAATATAAATCTTACTGATTTTCTATCTGTAGACTTTTTCCCACTCTACTAAATGGTGTTTATCTAGAAACGTTAAAATTTAAAACATATTTCAAGACTCTACTCTTACTTTCAGACTTAATAGTTCTCTCAATGCTAAAATAATTCTTTTTTTAATAAAATATTTATCTATAATAATGTTTTGCCAACTACATCTGCTTTTACAGATTTTCCTTTTATTATTATTTTGACCCATTAATCACTCTTGTATTTTCTCCTTATTGTCATTGCTGCATATGTTCTGGTCACTCATTTAAAAAATTTATCCCCTGAAATTTTCTTTCTAATTTCTTTTTCTTTTTTTTTTTGAGTTGGAGTCTCACTCTGTCGACCAGACTGGAGTGCAGTGGCCGCTCCCAGCCACCGCAGCCTCGACCTGCTGGGCTCCGGCGAGCCTTCCGCCTCAGCCTTCCAAGTAGCTGGAACTACAGGCACACACTACCACGCCCGGCTAATTTTTTGATTTATTGTAGAGATGAGGTCTCGCCTGCCCAGGCGGGTCTCAAACCCGCGGGCTCAGGCAATCCACTCACCTCAGCCTTCCAAAGGCGTGGGATTACAGGCTGAGCCACCGAGCCCGGCTCACTCTAATTTCTAAGCACAATGTCTTACATGTGGCGAAAGGTCAATAATATTTTTGGTGTAAATTAATATGCTAGCATTTTAGAAAAAATTGCTCAATAAAGAATATTGCTTAAATTTTTCAGCCAGCATTTTCAGTTATTGGAGATACATATTCTTAAAAACACATTTTATGTCCAACTTTAAAATATATTCTAATTGGCAGTTATCAAAAACAAAACTGTGTCAATAACCTATGAAATCTTAAATAAATAACTCCTTTCAACCCATAATTATACTTGAACAAAATTGATTCAAACCCTCATGGATGACTTTGAGGTGTTCAAGACCAGTGGAAGATGGTCTTGAAAAATCTATCCAAGATCCATATATGGAGATATATATTCCTGGGTCATTAAATTATCAATATACATTGAAAAGGCTGTGACTTCATTGTCTTTATTCTTGTGCAAGGAATTTTCCAGACCAATCCTTATTAAATTTTTAGCAGCAGGCTTGGAGCAAAATGTGCAAACAAGAAATTATATATGATACCATCCAGTAAATCAGAGAAAGCAGAGATGCTCTTGTTGAACCTGAGTTAAGTTTCAGATAGTTCTGACTGTCCACTGCTGCTTTCAACATAACTCTGCTGAACCTTGGAACTCCAAGGAGCAGGGTTAGAAAAGAAGAAGAAGTCAATCAATATCATCATGTAGTGCTTTTGTAATCTGTCCAGACTCTCCGACCAAATTGTGCAGTGGATTCATGCTTTGACATATTCCCTTGCTCCAGATACATAGCAATGATAAATAGAAAAGGTATCCCATAAAAAGACTCAGAGACAAGATAAACATCACCATAGCCAAAGACCAAAACCAGAGTAGAACCAGAAAATACAGATGGGGGCTGTAACCCAGGCCTGCTGGCACCTAAATCGTGAAATAAGCAGGAAAACAGAGTAACGATACTTCACACATGATGGCAGCCTAAAACGAGGGATTCTTATTCAACCCTAACTGAAAGAACCAATTGCAACCACAGCCTAATGCTCTATAGGAAGTTGTAGTCCTAAAGAGATTCAGGGAAGGGAAGGACACAAGAATACAGTTTCGGGACAAAGAACCAAGCTTCCCAATGGACATGGCAGATAAAATTGAATGAATCAAGAGTCATCCAAGGATGCTGGGCACTGCTAAAGGAGGAAAGAAGGGCGGGGGAGAGGATAAGGGTCAAGCAACCACCCATTGGGCACCCTCTCCACTACCAAGAGGAGAGAGATCTTGCTAGAAGTCCAAACCTCACTTGCTTGCAATTTTCTTATATAGCAAATCTTCACATGTACCCCACAACTCTAAAATCAAAAAATAAATAACTACAAATGACTCGTCCAAGGAGGATAGAGTAACTTGCAGGACTGGATAGCCATTGAACAGTTGTCAGTGTTCTTGATGGGCATCAATAAAGACACCTTTCTAAAACAACCAAAAGTCTTATGAATATAATTTCTAGTCTGTTTTTATGCTTCCCTTTGAAGTCAAGACAAACTCTGCCTGTGGCCTCCAATAGAAAACTCTGTGATTACTAAAATTTCCCTGTGATGAATGATCACAATGCTCTAAAGACACACAGTCTTAATACATTAAACTTCAGAGACCCATATCATCACCCAGATCTATCACGTATCCAGTGACCACCCATCCATGAATTATACCCCAGTTGGAAGCTGGTGAACTTAGTTTCATCAATAAATTAATAAACCTGATGAACTTCCAACTATCAATTCACTTGCACATAATATGAGACATTAAGGGAACAACAAAAAGCACAGAGACATCTGCCTTCAAGTAAAATCTGACTCCTCAGCTAAAATTAATTCAGACTCCAAGTACATACAATCCATTTGAACTCATGTATAGTAATACATAATGCATGTATTAGTCAACTCAGATTGCCATAACAAAGTTCTATAAACCGGGTGACTTAACCAGCAGAAATTTATTTTCTCACAATTCTGGAGGCTAGAAATCCAAGATCAAAATGTTGGCAGGTTTGGTGTCTTCTGAAACCTCTGACTTTGGCTTACAAACGACTGGATTCTTGTTGTATCCTCTTCTCTATGCAAGTGCATCCCAGATGCCTTTCCCTCTTCTTGTAATTACACTATCCACATGGGATTAGGTCCTTACCCTGATGACCTCTTTTAACCTTAATTACCTCCTTAAAGTTCCCATCTCTAAATAGTCTTATTGCCAGTTTCAACATATGATTTTTTTGGGGGGGAGTGGACACAATTCAGTCCATTAAGAACACACACCTAGGAAATGATTCTACTGACAAACGTTTACTTGCAGAAATTTTCAAGTTAATAAGTTGAAATTTTCTTCAGAAAGAATGGTCTTCTAAAATATACAACTAGAAAAAATGAAGGATAATACAATAAACCGTGTTATTATGCCATCATGAGAAATTCATTGGAAGAAAAAAGACATGCTAACATCCATGATCATTGTTCTTTTTTTCAGCCAACCAGAGCTGCTCTAACGGAGCTCTGGTGTGTACCTCCTCTAACAGCTGTATTCCAGTTCACCAGCGCTGCGATGGTTTTGCCGACTGTGTAGATTTCCAGCTTGATGAGTCCAGTTGCTTAGGTACTCTGTTTTTATTCAACTACTTTTTGGCACTATAAATCAGCAACAACCTACAGAAGATAAAAATATTAAAAACTGAGATTCAAAACATAGAGTCACTGAATTTTTATTATTGGTTTGGAGATAGGAAGAATGTTAACATTAATTGTTACACTTATAAGAATGTATAAATCTATAATATAATGGGTTCATGTTTGTTCTACACAATGTTTGATAAAGAAAAACCAAATGTAATTTTAATTTAATTTCTACAATTTAAGATTATTAGTATTTAATAATCTCTGCCATGAAAAATGCTAGGCTTCTATAGTAAGGAAACACTATACAAAAACACTGTAAAAATAATGTTGTTATTTTTTAATTGTCTTCTTTTCCTACTTCTTTATAAGAGCTTTCTATTGGCACAACCTAATCATATATTTAAAAGTAAATGTATTGAGCCGGGCTCGGTGGCTCAGCCTGTAATCCCGCGCCTTTGGGAGGCTGAGGTGAGTGGATTGCCTGAGCCCGCGGGTTCGAGACCCGCCTGGGTAGCGAGACCTCATCTCTACAATAAATCGAAAAATCAGCCGGGCGTGGTAGCGCATGCCTGTAATTCCGGCTACTTGGAAGGCTGAGGCGGAAGGATCGCCAGAGCCCAGCAGGTCGAGGCTGCGGTGGCCGGGAGTGGCCACTGCACTCCAGTCTGGGCGACAGAGTGAGACTCCAACTCAAAAAAAAAAAAAAAAAAGTAAATGTATTAAACTTTAGATTGACTTTTAAACATTTTTTCTTTCTTCTGACCCTGAAGCATTTATACGGGATAAGAGCTGATAGTACACATATGTGATTATACTTTTATCAAAACTACTTAAAAGTCTCTAATTTATTGTAATTCATTGTTAGCATCTCTCCTGGGTAATCAAATTTTTATTTCATACAGACTATATAAAAATAATGATAGTTAAGGGCAACAAAATTCTGTCACAACTAGAAGATAGTATAAATTAATGATAAAAAGATATAGTCAATCAAATTTTCCAAGCAAATTGGAAATATTTTATAGTAAAACTAGGTAAAAATATATTCTTTGTATCATTCAAGAGAGGAAAACATTATGGGATAAGTGACAAAAGCATGATAATTATAGTCAAATTATAGGGCAAAAACTCTTTTTTATACTGCTGGGAGTACTCCCACAGCACTGAATTTTATGAATACAAAAGGAAAGGAAGATGTGAGGAGATCTGGCCCCAAGAAATATGCAAAGATGAATGCTACTGGTTATTATTTCTCTACAAGACATCTTTCAAACATAATGTACCCAGGCCGAATGCAATGGCTCACATCTGTAATCCCAAACACTTTGGGAAGTGGAGATCGGTGATCACTTGAGGACAGAATTTTGACACCATCATGGGCAACGTAGTAAGATTTCATCTCTACAAAAGAATTAAAAAATAAGCAAAAAATAATTTTTTTAAAAGGATAAGGTACTCACTCTAATACTTTCTTAGTCTCCATCCTTTGAAAGTATTAAGACATAGCGTTCGTGTCCAGTACCCAAATTTATTTACATAAAGGTGAGATTTTCTTCAGGATGATCTTATATGAGCACAAATATATTACAACATGTTATAATGTACTGTCGGCATTTACATGGTCTACTTTTAAAAATAGAGTTAAGCCGGGCTCGGTGGCTCAGCCTGTAATCCCGCGCCTTTGGGAGGCTGAGGTGAGTGGATTGCCTGAGCCCGCGGGTTCGTGACCCACCTGGGCAACTTGGTGAGACCTCATCTCTACAACAACAACAAAAAATAGCCAGGTGTGGTCTTGCATAATTCCAGCTACTTGGAAGGCTGAGGCAGAAGGATCGCCGGAGCCCAGCAGGTCGAGGCTGCGGTGGCCGGGAGCGGCCACGGCACTCCAGTCTGGGCGAGAGTGAGACTCCAACTCAAAAAAAAAAATAGAGTTTAAAAAAAACACAAATACTTGTCATTTATGCCAAGTGATAGCCTGTAGATGATACCACAGACACATTTTTGTTGCCCGTCTCTTAGTTTGTCACCAAATATTTACAGTTCACTTATAAAGTGTAGGACATATGGACACAGCTATTGGGTTAGAGTAAAATAAAGAACTAATGAAACATAGTTTTCAGAAATAAAATCCATATTATATTACACTTCTATTTACATTTTGTATGTTTTTTGGCTTGTCAGTCAAATATGATAAAGAGAAGCTTCTGTTTTTAAGGATACCTTTAAGCCTAATCCACACCAAAGATTTGTCAATGTACATTACACATTCCTTCATCTTTCAAACATCATTTTCTTTTAAGGTCAGCATTTGATAGGCTTTTATGAGCCCAATCTTTACAATATCCAATAATTCCCATAGTGGTCACAGATCTGGCCTCACCTACCTCGAGGTTTAAATCATTAACAAGAGCATCAAGCATAAACTGCATAAGTGTTGCATGTTAAATATATTTCATTGAATCCTGTGCATTCCTAAACTATATTAGAAAGGCATATTATTTTCAAGTTTTTGTTACTTATGCAACAGGAAATGGTTGACCAGAATTCAGTTGGTTAAGTCTAAACAAAATGTGTTTTTCTAGTTATTTGCAGCTGTAGGGGTTAATAAAGCTTATGCTAAGGTGATGCTGTAAATATAATAATCATCCATTTGAAGGAGAATTGGGAAAAGGTACTAAAAATATAAAACTGTACAATGGGTCATTATGTAATGTGTATATATACATATATATATGTAATGCTTACTGATGGTGATTATGATGGTGATTTACTTTCAGAAAGTGAAAAAACTAAAACAAACACAAAAATTTCTCAGGCAAGTACTATGGAGTTAGTTCAAGTTTCTTTTTTTATTAAAATTGACACGTTGTAGTTATACATATTTATGGGGTAAAATTTGACATTTCAATACATATATATCATATCATGATCAAATCAGGGTAGTTAACATATCCATTACCTCATGCCTTTATGATTACTTTGTGATAGGAACGTTCAAAAACTTTTCTTCCAGCTATTTTATAATATATAATTCCTTACTGTTAATCTGTCACCCTACTGTGCAATAGAACCTGTCCTTATTATCCTATGTAATATTCACTTTGTACCCATTGCCCAATCTCTTCCCACCCTTCCCTCCTCCTCCCCAGTCTCGTTAAGCACTGTTCTATTCTCTGCTGCTATTCTTGTGCTGGAATTTCAAGATAAAGAGAACAATGTCTGCCCACTGTGGACTTGATTTGCTGCATAAAAACTTCTGGTGGACTCCTAGGATTCATATATCTGTTTAAACTATATGTAGATTATTGTGTACATGCATATTTATCTGTGACCATGCATAAATACCACATGATTCAAAGGGGTTCTTAAGTCCGTAACATCAAAACCTGCAGGCAGTCATAGAAATTCCGAGTTAAATAGCAAAATCATTTGACATTTTTAAACTAACAGACTTTGGAGCTAGAGGACCAAGATCTAGTTCTAGGTTAGAGCTTTCCAGAATCTTTAGCCATAACAGTGTCTCTCCAGCTTGTATCCTCTTGTGTTGGTTATTATGACTGTGTCTAGAAGCCAATACAGCTCACAACTGATTACATATAATTATCATTCTGGCCAGAATTCACATTCAATCCCATTCTGATAGGATCTTGCTAATAACTCAAGCAAATTATTTGAGGCCTTAGTCTTTTCCTCTGCAAAATGAGGATAACTGTGGTATATAAAAGAGGTCCCCAACCCTGTTAGGATAAGGTTTCACAACAGGAGGTAAGTGGTAGGTGAGCTAGCAAAGTTTCAACTGTATTTACAGCTGTTCCCTCTCACTCGCATTACTGCCTGAGATCTGTCTTCAGTCAGATCATCAGCAGCATTCGATTCTCATAGGAGTTTGAACCCTATTGTGAACTGTGCGTGTGAGGGATCTGGGTTGTGTGATCCTCATGAGAATCTAATGCCTGACCATCTAAGGTGGAGCTCAGGCAGTGATGCTAGCACTGAAGAGTGGGTGCACATACAGATTAACATTAACGGTGAGGTTTGATTGCACAGAGACCATAATAAATCAATTGTTTGCAGACATATAAAAATCCTATCAGTGAATGTATGTACTTCAGTTGAACAGCTGCATCTGGTAGCAGACTTTAAGTCAGAATCTGACACTTATTTCAGTCCACACATGGCCCACCCATTGTTTTATTTACTTCTATCTGTGTCTCTTTCCTGTACCGCACATTTGTATCAGTCACAGTTTTGGTAAGCTCACAAGCTAACCCTAGCCAAAAGGAATGCCACTGCAGAGCTTCTTTAAAAAGGGGGGAAGACCCAATGATGAGACAGCAGAAGGCTCTAAAACTGCCAACCAAAAGAAAACTGCATTTAAAAGAAAATATCAAGAGTCCTACTTAAATTACAGGTTCATCACAATAGGTGATTCATCTTCTCCAAGCCCACTTTGTATAATATGTGGCAATCAGCTATCCAGAGAAGCCATGAAACCTCAAAACTGCTTCGCCACATGGAGACCAAGCACCCTGCATTAAAAGACAAGTCTTTGAAAGTTTTCAAAAGAAAATAAACCAAAAAAATCATGGGGCAACCCCTTCAGGTCCCCTCCCACTGTGGGAGCTTTTCTGTCCTCCCAATAAATCCTGCTTTCTAATAAAACAAAATCTTGAACACAAAGAACAGAAGCAATTATTGAAGGTCATCACTTCATCAAATGTGTCTACACTAAGAACATCACTCTTAGTTGCTAACCGCATTACTAAGCTAAGATGCCCTTTACTGTTGGCGAAGAGTTGATCCTGCCTGCTGCTAAAGACATTTGTTATAAACTTTTAGGAGAGGATACAGTTCAAAAGGTGGCACATGTTTCTCTTTCAGCTAGCACTAGATGAATTGATGAAATACTACAGCATATTGAGGCATAATTGTTAGAGGATTAACAAGTCACCATGTTACCCAATTCAGGTTGACAAGTCT